ATATATATATATATATATATATATATATATATATATATATAATTGTTAGTATGATATCAATGTGTAGAATACTTAACAGGGATACAGTATATCTAGTTATATATGATATACTGTATTCCTGTTAAGCCTTTTTATCTATATACACATACATATATAAATTGTATCACACCAAAAGAAAATATATCCTTTCCTGTTATCGATACATCAATAATGACACAACTTTTATATATTTAACAGCTTCTATGTCTGTGAATTATGGTATTCAAATTGTTCTACACATATACAGATATTTATAGACTTTCTATCGTCTCTCTACTTGATGAGATTTGTTTCTTTAATATTCCTTTACTTCTGATCCAAGCTTATTTGTTAAGTATCGCTCCAGAGATATTATATGATTTGTTAGTCTTATTCTTATACTGTTGATGTTTTTACCTTATTGTCTTTGTTGAGTTTCTTATGTCTTTGTCATAACATTGTTCAACCCACTTATTTTTGCAATATTCTATGAATGTGTACCATTCTTTTTCTGTTTTTTGAAAGGATTTGCCGTTCACCCAATAGGTCAATTTATCAATTTCAATTGTGTCTAACATTTTAAATAACCATTCATCAACAGTTGGAACATTCTGTGATTTCCAGTGTTGTGCCAATAGTATTCTGGCCATTGACACAATGTAAAAAAATTATCCTCGAGTGGTGTGTTCCAGTTTGATTTTGTAGTTTATTAGTCATATTTAATAAATACACTTCTGGTAGAAGTTGGTACTTAATTTTTAGTATTTTGCTGATGTTTAAGTGTATTTGTTTAAGTGTATTTTTAATTACTGGACAAGTCCACCACATGTGATACCATGAGCCTTTGGCCTTTTCACACTCCCAGCACTTGTTCTATTGAAATTTATTATTCTTGCTGGTATTAGGAACCATCTGACAGCCATTTTGTAATAGTTTTCTCTGATTTTCTGGCATTTTGTGAATTGATTTGTCTTTTTCCTTGCATATGTCCAACTGTCTTAGGAGACTATTGCATAAGCAAGTTAAACTGGTTTACCTGAGCTGGCTTAAAATTTAAAATGGGTGGCATCCTGATTTTATCACAAGGGTTTAGCCACCAAAATTGCCACCCAGGTGCAGCCCGGGTCCATTCCCGTTCCCAGGGGCACGCAGCATGGCTTTTTTTGAAAATTTGATGGCCAATCTATTTCTTGATATTTGGTTTTTTTCCCTTTCCTTCTAATATATAGTCCATTCTTTTTCCTTTCAAATCCCTCTTGTTTTTGATCAATTTAATTGTTTATATATTTTGTTTTGTTCTAATCCACCTATTTCCTTTATTGTTTTCATTTCTAATTGTTCTTATTTGTTAGTTTTTAAGATGTCTTTGTATCTCAGACAATTATTTGTTTTGTACCATCTCCCACAGAAAACTTCTTGAGTTAAAAACCAGCCAGGTATACTGCAGCAGAAGTTACTTTTGATTTCCCTCTAATTCTTTATTATTGCTTTTCGCACAAAATAATGTTCAGATTTCTTATGTGATGCAGTTTTATCATACCCAGAGGTATCCATCTGAAGATTAAAACCATTTGAATTAAAATGCTTATTTTTTCTAATTTTATCCATTTGAATAGCCACATTAAGATATCAGCTTGGTAGTAAATTTCTAAATCAAATACATTAAATAACAAATTAATTAATTATATGTAATTAAGCAATTAATTAAATTAATTAGCTTTTAAAAATTAGATTTCTTTCCATATTGTTATATAGTCAAACAAGTCTATATT